TAATACCAGTAAATAATAGAACCTTTCAGAAGTCTACAATAAAAATTTCAACCCAGAAAATTATTTATGCAATACCAGAAGCCTATTAAAGCATAAAACATGAATTATTAACACAGAAAAAAATATTTTTTATTTTCGTAAAATTTTCAAAATTTTACAGAAGATAAAAAAAATTAATTCTGAGTCTAACGGTACAAACCACGCTTAAAACAAAGCTATAACGAATTAATTATGACAATTTAACGCGATTCAAAATTTAAAAACAAAACAAACAGACCCTTAACATCAGCAGCCATGCCGGGGGAGGAAAAACGGCGCGGCTCAACGCGCGCGGCTCGGAATGCGACTCGGAACGCGGCTTAGCACGCGGCGGACGTGTGTGGCGCGGAGGGCGTGCGCGTGGACAGCGCCGCTGATGCGCGCGTGGAGGCGCGTCGGAAGCACGCCTGGCACATGGAGGCATGTGGCAGCACGTGGAGGTGCGTGGAAGCCTCCCACGGCGTCAGGTGGTGCGTGAGGCCCACGCTCCGCCTTCCAGGGTGTTTTCTGGTTCGATTTTGTACTGCCGGACTCCATTTTTCACAATAAATACATTTATAGTCTCAAAAATGACATTTAACGGACATGAAAATGAGATGTATCACATTCTCAATCTAATTTTCATGCAAATAATGTGTATGTATATTTGTATAAAACTATACACATATTTTATCGCATACAAATAAGCACGAAAATACCCATATTCAGCTCTGATACCAATGTAAATCATAAAGCATAATAACTTAACGCAGCGGATAAAAATAATTCGGATCATACCTTAATGACACAACCTCGTGGGTAAATCACGTGCTTCCAAAATCTGATCAGTCAACGAACCCAGCAGTGGAGTGATAATACAAAATGAGTATCACCCACACAAGTCACAGTGCAAAATGGCTTGATTGTTGTTTTCTGGGAGAGAGTCAGAGAGAGTCTAGAAAAAAGGTTATGGGTAAAAACCCATATAACGTATATCTGATATACATATCTAATTTTTTAATATATTAGATTAACCATATAATCTGATATATAACCAATATCTATCTATCCATCTATCCATATCTATTGATATGATAGATATAGATATCCTGAATGGTTATCCAAATAAGTTTTGATTCAAATTCAAATTCAAAACTTACATGGATAAGGTTCAAAAGGTTCAAAGGGTCATGCCACATGGGTGCCCAATTTCTAACAAAGTCCAACTAGTACCCTGAATCAAGTATAAAAACTACGTGTCACTACTAATTCAAAAATACTAAAAAATAATAATAAACTAAGTACCCCACACTAAAGCGCACTAACACAGCTCTACCCCACTGACGATTACTCTTAAATAATACCTAAGTTCATGTTCTTTACGGTCTAAAATTACCCAAGATATGAGTTCACATCAAAACTTAATTAAAAGTAACCTTAAGATAAAACATAATTTTAAACAAGTTTTCTCAATATATTCGTTAACTTTGAAAATTTAAAACCCACTCCATGCTGTTCGAAAAATTTCAAAACCTCCAGATATCAACTAATATATCTTAAATTTCAAACCCAATTGGTTTTACTTGATTTTCTTATGAAAATAATTATTTACAATTAATTATATCCAAACATGTTGTTTTCTGCAGCACTTTAAAAAAATTAATGGTTCTCTTAGTATACACGAGCAATCAATGCAAGGCTAAAAATGTAAGAAATTAGACTCGTAACCGGTTCTAATGAAGCTGATTTGATAATTTTCATATTTATACCCCAAAAGAATGACACTTCCGAAGTTATTGTTTGGTACTAGTTTTCTGGACAGATTTGAATACATCAGTTTATATGGATTTTGACTCCCAAAAATTATAAGAAAATTGTGATATACAATTCAATACATAATTAATCTACTGTAAAAATTTTAGTTCAAAATTCATCCGTTTGATATGATTCCTTGATTTTTAAAGTTTGTGGTTATGTATAGAATTTTTAAACTAAGAATTACTCCCATCACCTAAGCACCAAGTAATTGACTTACCCACAGTAGTGATTATGTAGAACCCAATGATGCTATAGACCTCTTCCTCTCCTTGCCGATTGCTACCAATTTTTATCGCCTCACTCTCATTCTCACGGCTACTGCTGGTAGGGAACTATATGAGATTTTAGGGTTATTAAATCAATTATATAACAGGTCTCTCTTATTATTATTATTATTATCATCAATAATCTTTAAAATTGTTGACTTCCATAATAAATTTATTTATAGTTTAAAATTAATTAAAATGCCCTCTAGTAATATTTAATTTGCACTTAAAGATTCACAGTAAAATATTGAGTTTTGTAAAATTATTATTATTTTTATTATTTATTTATTTATCGGGTTCTCACAAGAATCTTGTGAGACTGAAGGAGATGAAAAGATTTTGGTCTATGAGTATATGCCCAACAAAAGATTGGATTTCTTCCTTTTTGGTTTGTGCCTTAGCAAACTTGAACATATTGAACATATTGAATATATGTTATTCTTTCTGTTATTTTGTTTATTCATAGTTATGTACTACCGTTTAATTTATTAATTTGGTGTGAAATTGAGACAGATCCAATCAAACATGGGATACTAAACTGGGAGTTACGCGTTGATATCAGTTAAGGAATTGCTTAAGGGCTTCTCTATCTTCATCAGAATTCAAGGTTACGAATTATTCACAGAGATTTGAAAGCTAGCAACATTTTGTTGGATATAGATATGAACCCAAAAATTTCGAATTTTGGGTTGGCAAGAATTTTTGGGGGAAATGGATCACAAGCAACAAATCGAATTGTTGGCAATTAGTGAGTAAAACATAATTTGTGCGCCTTTCCTCCAAAACATCTTATTTTTGCATACATTCATATCTTTGAGGATACTGATTCGATTTAATACTTGAATTCAGCGGCTACGTGTCATCTGAGTATGCTTTGAAAGGCCTCTTCTCCATCAAATCCGATATTTTCAGTTTTGGAGTCTTGTTGTTGGAAATTTTGAGTGGCAAAAAGAATACTGGCTTTTATCATACTGGAATCTCTTAATCTTCTTGGATATGTGATTACCAAAATGATACTACATTTATTATCCCCTTCTTTTTCTCTTTTCTCTTTTTCTTTTGAAATCTCAAACCTTCTTACCCTAGAAACAACCTCTTTGCACACCGGCATAAGACTGCGTGCATCTGACCCTTCCTAGACCTTGTAGTGATGGGAGCCTAGAACTGCCTTGAAAATCTTAATTCTTCGTATAATTCGTCTTTGAAGGATTCACAATGAGATATACTTGTTATCTTATTTTTCAGGCATTGGACTTGTGGAAGAGTGGCATGGGACTGGACATGAACGACCCAATACTAGGAGATATATCTTCTACACATATGTTGTTGAGCATAAATATAGAGCTTCTTTGTGTTCAAGAAATTGCAGCCGACAGGCCTACCATGTCTAGTGTTGTGTCAATGCTTAGCAATGAACTTGTGTTTCCACCCTCTCCGAAACAAACCTGCATTTTCAATTATGACAAGTGTGCCTGATCGGACTTCATGCAAAAGCCCAGAAATATGGTCACTGAACAATGTGACAAATTCAATTCTGGAACCCCCGGTAACAGTTCAGTCTTTCATGTCAATTCATCTATGGCGTTTGTTTTTTCTTTGTAAACTCACTTTTTTTTTCCCCTTCCCCAATAAAAGAAGTGTGCCTGAAATGTACTAAAATAGTGTTAACAATGAAGAGTGACAATTAGGTTCTGTGATTTAGTCTGTAGGCAAGTTTGCAACCCATATGTTGGAAGAAGGGAGATTCAACTCATTTAGACTATAAACGAAGTTTGGTTACTTGGTTTATTGATACAATACTGCGGTATCAACAAATACAACCCAAAATATTGTCGACATAATTAGGAACCATTGGTGAACTCTATCAAAATGTTGTTGATTTGGAAAAGTTGTGTAATCATTATAAATTTTGAAAACGGCTCGACTAACAGGGCAAGTTTCTTGGTTATGCTCGTGAAAGACCTGACTCAAAGATCAAACAACAAATCCCGTCATTGCTGTCCAAAAAAGAAGCTGATGAAGGATTAAGAAAACACCCGTGTTTGAGTTTCGTATGTGTTTTTGGTTTTCATTTTATATTTTCATTTTTCAGGGAAACAATTGTCCTTGTTTGGTAACATTTTTGTCTTTATTTTCTAATTTCTGTTTTTGATTTCATTTTATTTCAAAATTGGTAACAAAAACTTGGTATATTGTTTTTGTTTTGAGAAAAATGTAGATGCACTACAACAATTTACACATTTTGCGACCACTTTTGCTGACCAAAAAAATTTTGGTCGCAAAAAAATGACATTTGGCAACCAAATGTTAATTAGTCGCTAATGATCATTAATTTTGGCGACCAAATATTATTGGTCATAGAAGGTTATATTTTGGCGACCAAAAAATGAGTTGGTCGCAGAAAGTGGTATGCTTTTGCCGACCAACAACAAATTTGGTCGCGGAAGGTCACATATTTTTTGGCGACCAAAAAATTTGGTCGCCAAAAACTTATTTTCAGCAACCAAAAAAAATTAGTCGCCAAATTTGTACTTTTAGCGACTAATATTTTAGTCGCCGTTGATTGAGATTTGGCCACTAAAAAAGTTTGTTGGCGAAGGTACTTTTTCTGCGACTAATATGGTCTTTTGGTCGCCAAAAGTTTGGGAGGGAAATTTGATTTTTAGTGGGGCGGGAATTGAAATTTTTTTGAGACAAATAAATTTGGTCGCCAATTTTAAAACGACGTCATTTGGTACCATGAAAGCAGAAAAAAAAAATTAAAATAAAAAAAGCCCTAATCTCCCTTGTCTCTATCTCGCTCTGTGTCTCGGTCCGCCCTCTCCCTCTCTGTGTTCTTTCTCTCAATCGGTGCCCACTCTCTCTAGCTCACCGAAGTCCCTCACCACCGTTGCTCACATCTCTTCATCGGAATCCTCCACTGGAAAATCAACAGCCACCGAAGCTAATACGACGCCCAAGGACTGTAACAAGAGCGATAGTAGCATTATCGGTAGCATCAGTAGTAACCTAAGCAGCGCTAGTATTAGAGTATTGCCGGATATGGCTTTTGGTAATGGGAATCCGATGGATATCGATGAAGATCTGCACAGCAGACAGCTAGCTGCGTACGGACATGAGACTATGAGGCGGCTCTTTGCCTCTAACGTCCTTGTCTCCGGGATGCAAGGCCTCGGTGTCGAAATTGGTAGGACTTTTGAACCTTGCTGGTTGTTAATTTTGTGTAATTTTAGTGATGGATTGCGTGATTTTGAACCTAGAGTAGTTTTTGACATCTGATTACGGAGTTGCATATTCTTAACTTATGCATCAAATTTTTTACATTTTTATTCAGATCATTCTTCATTTAGAGAATGGTCTAAATAAAACTTTTGAGATCACTAAATTTACCATTGTCGAATGGAAGTGTGTCATGTTTCAAAACGTGCATACTAATATATAATTTGCTAGGGTATTAGCATTTTTTGGGAACACAAATTTTGACCCTATGCCCATTCACCCTACTGATTCGTATTTATTTGTTTGTTAATCTAACAGTTTATGTTATTTGATTTTTGGTTTCTTTCCGAAAAGGAATCTATATATAGTTTTTTTGTTTTCTGTGTGGTTATGTTGAACTCTCATATTAGAATTAAGTGTGTGATTTTCTACAATTCAACGTTTTCCTCTATATATGCATCAAACTGTTAATATTTTTCCAACTTGTGTCAAGAATTCGACTAAGATATTAGTAATAATAACAACATACAGTTATGAAAAAACAATTTTAATAGAGTTGTGTTCCTTATTTATTTAAATTATGGGTTTTTTTATATTAAAAAAAAATGGGCACCAGCAATGGGCATGAGATCACGCACCTTGCGCGACCATCTCAAGAGTATACATTAGTTACTGAACTGTGCCAATTTGATTGAGAAACTTAGTTCTAGGTTTGATTCTAAAGGTAAAGATTTTGGTTATCTGATTTAGAATTTCTCTTAACTCTTGAGCTTCACCGTTGATGCTCACAACTGATGAACCACATGCTTAATTAAATGTTGTATATAAATACCATAAAATATTATTTTATGTTTAGTTGTAAATACCACATGCTTAGTTGTGTGCTCTGTAGCACCGTATCAAATTTTGGAATTCGTTCCTCTAGTACTTGCAATACATGTTGGTTGTACAAATACTTGAAATGTTATGAGAATATAGCTGTTGGCATTTTTTGCTATGGGCTTTTATGCAAGATCAGCACAGTTTTAGTTTTCCCATCACATATTTGAAATGCAAGTTCCATTTTTTGTTTTGCTTGGGTGGTTCTCTTGGATGGCATTACAATGCGTGGTTGTGCAGGAATTTCAGTCCATGGGCATTTCATGTCGCAACTGATAAAACTGTATATATTGTTTCAGTGAAGGAATAATGCATGTAATTTCATAACCCAAAAAGTGCTCACACTTGTTTCTAATGATCTCTCATCTTTAAACTGTCCTTTTCCTTCTTCTTTATTTTTATTTTTTAAAGATGGGGAGCTTTAAGAAATCTTTAAGTCAATTTCAGAGAGAGGAAATAAAATATGCATGAGATCCCTAAATCATAGGATTACCATCACCTGCATTAAGGTTTAAACATTTAATTTTATCTAGGTGGAGATGGGAGGTTGATGGGGTTATGCTTAAAGGAGCTTAAATTTCCTTTTTAAACTAACCATTGCCCTTAAAGCTTCTTCTAAAAGTACAAACTTGCAGAATTTGCTGCATCATTCATTTTGAAGTGTGGTTCAGAAAGCCCAAGAGATCATAAAGTTTGTTCACATTTGTATAGTTGAAGGGATAGCCCATAGGCGTGATAGCGTAGCAATGGCTTTCTCCTAAAATTGTTTTGAGGGTTATGGATCTTGATGTCATTGGTTAATGGATGATTTTTAAACTCTTGAAAGTGTGAAAGAGACCTTAAAAGTTTGTTTGAAATTTTTGGACGGGAAGGGAAAGAAAACATCTATTAGTATTTTTGATTGACTACCATAATTTTTCGAAAAGGCTTCATTATATGAGTATTTCTATAACCATATTTCAACAAAAGAAGATGGATGAATAAGGAGTTGGAATTTTTGATGGACTACGATAAGTTTTCTATCTGAAAAACTGATCTAGAAGAAGTAATATTTTTCTAATTTCTTTGAATTGGATAATAAAGCTTAGAATTGTCTATGTGTTTGACCATGCTTAAATTTGGCTTTATTCTTCTAGTATTTAGATTTTGATATGAAGAACTCTGATAGATGGCCTGGTGGAGGTGGTGGAGAGGAAGCAACACAGGATAATAAAAAAACAAGGAGTCTAGGGCCAAAAAAAGATGTACTTTTTGCCCATTGATGCATTTTGATGCAAGTTTTTTTAAAAAATTAGTGAGAATGGAGATATAATTCATTATATAAGATATAGTTTTACAAAGAAATTTGCAATAGAAATTATCCCTTTTAGTATCTGTCCTGTTTAAGTATTGATTAGATTCATGACTTGATTTTTCTGCTCTAGAAATTTTTAGTTCACACATTAATTCTCAAGTTGTAGAATGACTCTTATGTTTTCCAGTCAACATATTACAAAATCAAGGGACAGCCAGGGGACTTAAGCTAGGGAATTGATCTGCTGTTTTCTTACCATTGGAAGCTGCTAGATGGTAGAGAAAGCATGTGTAAAGCGCCTTCAGAAGGAATATAGAGCCCTTTGTAAAGTATGTCTTATTTCCTTTATATGTTTGCCAACTATAATGACCATAATCTATTATATATTATTCTCCCTTAGAACTTTAGTTTTTCTTTCCATTCTGCTTTCCATCTAACGTTATGAAAAACCATCCTCTGGCTTATAGTTCAATTTCCTGTAGGACAGTGCTATTTGTGCTTCACTTCTTTATGGTTCTGTACCCCCTCTGCTTTATTGATTTTCAACCTGCACTTATTATGTGGAAAGTGGGACTATCGCTTGGTGCAATGGTGATAATGCGGAGAGCATGAAGCTGAAGTTGGGTTGTTTGAAAACTTTTTTCTTCTTTGTGGTTAAAATTATGTTTCAATTTCTTTTGCTCTACAACTTTTCCTGCTCTGCAAAATTTGTGGCCATCAGCTTGTCCTTTTGACTTTGCTTCTGTGCAATGCTTATTGTATTGTGTTATGTCCTACTAATATTGTTGATGAATAGGCCATTCACCACCAAAATTTTGTAGTGCTTTGACTTTTTGTTATTTTCTATTTTGTATTTGCAGATGATAACTAAATCTAAATATGATGAAATTGATGGGACTTAAGGCTTGGTTTGGTTGGTTTGGTTTGGTTTAAATGTGATGAAATTTCGTGTATTGATTTGGGGGGGGGGGGGGGGGGGAGGAAATTATCAGATTGGTTTTGAAACTATTATGAGAGGCAAACCCTAAGTATATCTAATTGGTAGTTTTCTTTTCTTGTCTGCCGAAGGACTAAATAACTAAAAATTTTCATGTATTTTCTAATAATATTGTGATAGTTTAAAAGAATAAAAATGTAAGATCTACTTACAAATTAACCATTCTTCATCTTGTTTTCACAACATCAATGTAAACTGTGTCTAGACAAGTGATGATTCAAGCTGCTCTTTTTTTATTTTATTTTTTGTTTTAGATGCTGAAGTCCGATTGTAAACTGTGTCTTTTTTTTTTTTTTGGCCAGAAAACATGAGAAAATCAAGGTAATTGTCTCCAAAACTTTCTCACTCTACTAAATTTTTTTTATTCAGACCAAATGTTATAAAAATTAAAATATTAGTACTTTAATAGAGGAACTATTAAGGTTCTTATCTTTTGGTTGCGCTTACAGAAAAGAAAAAAAAAATTGCAATGGCATGCTAGCAAAGTATACATTATCATGACCTTCTATGTTCAGAGGAGATGTGTGTCACATGTCTATATACGGTGCCTGTGGTTTTGTTAGAAGTTTGCATGTTTTGCTTTGGCATTACTGGTTCAGCAAGTTAACTTCATCTTTTTATATTGATTATAGTATCGTAAAGTGGTTGGACTTTGTCCCCTAATTTTTATGTCTCTTTGATTGCACATAGTTTATACATTTTTAGTTTTGCACATGTTACAAGTGTTTCACTTCATGCTTGAATGTATAGTGAGTAACCCCCCCTGTTGTTGCAGCCATTGTCTCACTTAAAGAGCAGGTGGAGGGGATACAGGTATTTAACTTTTTTGCTTATCTTACTGGCAGGGTTGTTATGGCTGTTAGCTTATGAATCATCGTGTACTGAAATTTGCAGGTACAGCAACAGGTTATTGATGTTGTCACTCACATAGCTTCTACTGCATCCAAGTTTCAAAAAAATGTGTTGTTTTTTGCCTACATGGTGAGTAATTAGGTTGTTACACATCTAGGAGTAATGTTGGTTTGTAGGGGCTTGATTGCTCAGCTAGTTGTCTCTAACAAATTTGGCTGGATAACTTTTTTGATTAAGTTGCAGTTTTATTATGCCAGCTAGTTGTCTCAATATGATGTACATGTTTATAGGATTTAATTGATTTTTGCAAAGATACGGGTTTGCAATCCAGTGCTGCTGCCACTAGAAATGCCACTATTAAACTAATTGGTGCTTTACATAAGTTTGTTGGTCCAGGTAACTTGTCATTTAGGGATATGTTGAGTTAAGGATAAGAATTCTAAGATGCACCTGTTGTTGCAGACATCAAGGGATTTCTTTCAAATGTCAAACCTGCTCTTCTAAGTACACTTGAAGCTAAGTGTGAAAACAAACCATTTGAGGTATGGTTGAGTTGGGTTCACTATTTTGTTCCTGGTTGTTTCTTATTTTGGGGTTGTTTATAGCTCTAATTGCTTGGTTTTGCATTTATATATAGGATAAATCAGCAGATGTTTGTAAAGCAGCTGAGGTATGCATTGGTGAAATTTTCAGAGTCTGTGGTCCTGATACAGTATGTAGACAAAAAAATTTGGTGCCTCCTTTGG